GTAGGGAATTGAGTTTTTTTCCTCTCCAAAACCACTTTCTAATCACCATTAATGCCTACAACACTACTGCTCATTCTCCGATGAACGACTTGGGAGAGTGAACCTGTTACTTGGGGGTATTTTGATCTTCTCATGTTTGAAAGTACACATGAGGGGACTAAAGGAATTTCAAAATTGCTTTTAGGGGCTTTGGGATCGTTGAAAAAGTCTTGGGGGGAGGGGAGGGGTGGGAGCGGAATACTTGTTAGGGTTTTGGGGACTAGAAGCAATTTTCCCCCAAAAAAATGACATAAGCACATCGCGAGCTTATCTTGCATTATAATTAGCTTTGTGATTCTAACTTCGCACCAGATATTAATTATGTCCAACTTGAATTTGTTGAATGGGTGCAAAGTATATATTGTCGAATTAATTGATGCTCTTAACTTCATTTAATTGCAATTAGTAAAACAACGGGGAAAAAAGGAAAAGAAACTCAAGAGAGAGGACCTCAAGGAAATATTTGGAAGAATGGAAGAAGTCTATAGTGCGTATTACTAATCGGTTTTTCTATAGAGTGTCCATGAGCACTCTATAAGAGAGGAGAGAGATAGAGAGAAATGAATAACTCACGGCCCTCCCCCTGATTTGCATTAATTTCTGTGCATAATTCATTTCTCTCTATCTCTCGCCTCTCTTATAGAGTGCCCATGGGCACTCTATAGAAAAACCGATTACTAATTGCTAGCGGGGTTACATTTTCAATGGTTAATTTTTGGCATACATTTCATGAACCCCCAATATTAAGTTCGGGTGTCTGGCACTTAAACCATAAAAACTTTGAAACTCAACAAAACCCCAGTAAGTTTACAAATAATGTTGGGTTGAAATCAATCAAAACCACAAACTAAACAAGAAACAAGAAACATATTATTGGATAAAATCGTTTTTCTTAGCATCAGGGTCGACAGACGTAAATGAGAAGTTGCAACAGTCCAGGTGGTCGGACCGTCTCAAGTCGCCTGTGCAGGTTTTAAGCACGTACGTGTTGGCAATATTGGACCTTAACTATGCCCAATAAATCTTTTGAAATGTTCCTGTACACCTTGAAACGCTGTTCTTCGACGACGACGACCGTTCATCATCATCATCATCGTCACAGGTGTCATTCTCGGTGA